ATTACTATAAAATGGAGTGGAATGACAAGGCATCAAGAATCCAATATCTTTGACACCACCATTATCCACCTCCTTTCTTAAATAATTCATCACCTCCACCACACCGCTCTGATGTATGACGCTTGCATAATAAGCCATCGGCACATTGGTTAGCACAAAAAATAACACGGAAAGTCTTAGGTATCTTCGGGAAGCTGTGGCACGCGACCTCGAATCACTCGAGTCCGAGACTCGATAAATCTCTTGAAACCCATACCCCGCGATCAAAACAAAGATTGGCACCAAGGGATACAGGAATCTAAATTCCTTGTGCCCCAATAGGCTATATATTGTCACCACCCAACAGATCAATTGTAATAATGGTTTGACGTGTTGCCAATGATGCGGTTTTCTCATCGACGATTGTACCCCGTAGATGATAAATGAAATTAAAGAGGTTAAGATCACCGGCAATCCTTGAGTGAAGTACCAATGCCAAGGATGAGCTCCGTAGAATAGGGAGATGGGCTGGATTGCATTGATGTATAGAAAATTGAACGGAACGAACACTAATGAGCCGTAAAATTGATAATCCAAGGTGATCATCAAAGAGACTGCGAGGATGCTGGAGGTATCAGAAGAAAAGTTTCGAAGGGAACTTTTAATTCGTGTCTCTCGCTGTTTTTTTTCACAAATGATCACAAGATTATAGATTAAATACCGACGAAGCAACAAAGGCGTTCGCCATAACTGAAAACATGTGATCACGCGTCTTCAGAAGCAATTGAATGCCAAGGAAGCACCAAATGATCACATTGGTCGGTCGCAAGATGCACGAGATAGCGGACAAGCATAAAGAGATGCGCAAGTCTCTATATAAAAGGTGTACGTTTTCAGCCTTGTGGGAACAGATAAGTTGAAAAAGGCGGGAAACAAATTATTAATGTTCGTGTATACTTCTTTCGATTTTCCCAATTTTTCAAAGTCGCCAGCGAAGGCCAAGGCCAATAATATAAGGCAGCAATGGTTAATGCCGTTTCAACGCTGTTCGATAGCATGCGAATCGAACAAAAGAAATTAAACCATGAGATCACCGAGCAGAATAACTAAGAGAAAATAGTATATCGTCAAGGGCTCAACATCCGTGTGATCAGTTGGTGTACGATGCATCATCACGAAAGAAGGATACAGTCCACTTTGCCGTTGAATCATCAAAAAACTTTTGGGCCAATCGATGTGTGTAAAAGTCTCCCACGGCGGCGATTGTTGCTTGCAATATTCTTGGTGAATAAATAAATCTGGGAAAAAAAAAAGAGTTTCGTAGTTTAATAAATGGAGGACCGAGCACACCGAATGCAGGAATAAAAGTGTTACATTTACAAACAGGTCAGTATTATCAACTCCAAATGCTTCCAAGCATTTATACAGAGCCGCAAAAATCATCGGGTGGGCGGCACTTCGAATTCGTTGTTTCCATTCCCAGGTCAGATATCCATAAGTTTAGACCACAAAATTGTCAAGGAATAAAATGATTGTCGATAATTGTACGCGGTTGATAACGAGCAAAGGAACAGGAGTAAATCAAAACGCTGATAATTTTGGATATCCAAAGATCATATAATGTGCAACTTCAACTGATTGCCAGTACTCATCGGGATTAAAGTAAGTTCTGGTCACGAGAGCGTCAAATATTCGAAAAGCTATTAGAAAACACAATATTAATGGGTTTGAATATTGCCCTTTTTCCTCATTGACTTCGGAACCAACGAAGTCCTTTGTATCGTGTTGCGAATGACCAATATTTTGAAGTATTTCCGTCGTTGAATCCCCTTTGTACCGTTGCCTAAGTGCGGAAGAGGACATTATAGACCATAAAAGAAATTTATTTAATCCGCCAATAATGGTTCCATTCAAATACTGAGCGACAGATCGGATTTCCTATTCGGGAAGCTAGTAAAAAATTCTCCAGAGTGGCATACAATGCGTGCGTTTAAAAAAATCATGAAACTTGTTTGAATTAAATTGATCGGGTATTTTTTCTGAGGTCCTTGAAATCAATTTTAATATATTACTGATTAAAAAATTCCTAAAAAGATTCATTAACGTGGAAGATTATTGCCTCTTTACATTTCTTGCTTATGGAAACTGTATCCATAACAACTGCATACTATTATTTACATGCTCATACTTATGTATATGCTAGATTAACCACTTTTGGCAGCAGAGCAAAAGACGCGAATTATAGTTATAATAGGTACATTGTATAATGCGCCACGGAAATATTAAATTAGATATTCTTAAGGGCCTGAAACCATCAACATGACTTGGGGTATCAAATATGGCGAAACTCCCTTTTTTACCATCATTCATGTTCAAGCCGAGCATCAAAAGAATAATAAATTGATTTTTCCATTTAGCCAATCACCTTCCGAATGTTACCAAGCTGCATCTCATATAAATTGACCTTTTTTCGGCTTTACACTTTTTGAAGACTACCCGTTAATTGATATATTTAACCCATCTCTCCTCATAATCCACAAACTATCACCATGAGCAGTGGTAGCAATAGTTTAATATTGCGACCAAGTCACTTACTTTACAATATAATAATAACATCTCTTCTTTATTCCTTCATAATAACGACGGTGTCTGCTCAAAATTCTAATGATACTGGCAGAGAAGGTGAATATGTGGGACCACAAAGGATAGGAGAAACCATACCCTCGCCGCCACCGACCATAAATTCCACGCTTGGTGTCCCTGCTAATATAAGTAAGTGTTTGGTATTCGTTTCTTGGGAGAAGAAGATAAAATCAAACCTACAAATTCTTTATGCACCCGCCTGATACACCTTGCTGTTTACAGCAAGAGGGAATGACTACCCGATGGACGCTGCTAGCTATTTAACTGGAATGACGTTGATAATAACAGGTGCAGTGAGCCTATTCCGAGGAGGCAGATTTAAGTGGCTATCCATATTTCTGGCCGCATTCTATGGAACGTGTATGTACGACCCCTTTTCCGGGAAAACTTTACGTGACCTTCACTAACTCATTTTTTTTCCAGCCATAGCATTGATGCTATTTATTCTTAAATATCAAAACGTAACCAATCCAACTTCTTTCGTTCGCTTCATTTACTTTATAATATGTGTCGGGTCCGGGGCTGCCTCTGGCACATTTTTTGTATGCCTGTGGCCGACCGGAAAGATTCTTGTAGGAGCACTTGGTGGCTTTTCATTTGCAATGATCTGCCTATCAACAAAAAATAATGGACTAATCTCAAATCAGATATCTAGATGGGTATTTATGGGTATATGTACATTGATTTTGGGGTCATTGGCTGGTCTCCAAAGGATTTATCACCGCGTGGCCATATTTGCCACGGTGATAACTGGATGTTATTCTTTAATACTTGGGACCGATATCTTTGTACGCGCAGGAATACTGGCCTCCTTTAAGACTTTCTGGGGATTCATACAACCCGAGAATTACCAATATTTTATTGACGCCAACGTCATAATAATATTAGCAACGATAAGTGTCATTGGCGGGACTTTTGGATTGGGTTTTCAATTTTTGGAATATTGGATAAAACGAAAAAAAGAGAAATCGACTGTGGGAGATGCGGGAAGTATTTCGGACAATCAAAATCGAGTGAAAATCTGGTCACCGAGAAAAAGGATTTGCTGAAGTCAACGTAAAAGTTTATCTACTTCTACTCATTCAAATATCAAGAAATTTGATCATAGAAAGCTTAGAGTGTTATTACACATTACTACACTCGGACATTGAAACATTCGCGTTTCCACTTATATATTAATATTTTAAAAAAAATTGCCTTATCACCTAATAATTTATATCTTTCGTATACATGTACATTAAAAATACAATCAAGACGGCATTTCTAAAATTATTTTATTATAATTACTATTTATAGTATACGTGTTTCTCCGAAGTCGAAAGGATATTTTTCTCTTTTTTTTTTTTGACTATTACAATTATATTTTGCAATACAAATTCTAACCATACAAAAACTTGTAATACGATTACTTTTAATATAATATAGAAAATAATGTTTTGTTTCTTTATTAATTAACATAACAACTTTAATCTTTAAATTTTTATATTATTTATATATTATATATTCTAACAAGAATTAAACACCAAAACTCTTTCCACTGATCTTTTGATCACACACAAAAAAGATATTTGCAAGAAGTTTTTATACTTCTTTGCTAATAAAGTTTTATTACTTTCTTCAAATCAACTTGAAGAAAACTTCAAAAGTCATTTATACTTCCCTCCTCTCTTGTTAATACTTCTCTTCAAACAAAAACTTGATTGCTAGTGATCAAAAAGTCAAGCAACACTTTTCTTACCAATGGTAAGAAAATTCTGAAAGAAAGAAGAACTAATATGCAATCATCTCACATTGTAGAGAAACAATACAAAGTGTTTATATTGATAAGAGACAATTTTTCCACTCTTTTAGTTATTTGTTACACTATAATAGTATTCATTTTTTATGTTTTTTCTGAAGAATTTTGTCTATCTCAATTTAATCCTAAATTTTGAAATAATACAAAGTTTCTTATACTATAATTGGACAGATAGAATTCACATTAGTAAAAGAGGTAAACAAACTTTTATTAATCAGTTTATATATCTGAATATATTTTTTTAATATTATAAGAACCTAAAATTTACTATAAATTATTATTGCTTGATATAAATAGATATATAACATATAATCTTATATATCAATAACTGTTTTAAAAAAAGTTGACAAGAACACTGGTTTCTTTTAATTACTTCTTAGCTTAGCTTTTAAAATATAGAGAATGAAATGTATAAACAGTGACCTCTAATGTACTGCTTATTAGTGATAAGGATGAAAAAAAATAGTTTATGAATTGATTTACTTGTATTAATATATATAACATTATTTCCAACCTCTTCTTATTAATAAGATTGGATTTTTTGCTCTTTTTTATATACTCTCTAAGAAAATAACTCAGTAATTATTCTAAAGATTTTCCCTTTTTTACTAAATATTAGTATCTAACTCCTGTGTATAATCTGCATTAATATTTTGAAAGTTCTTACAAAGAAACACAAGTTAGTTATTAAAGTAATAATTAAGATTCCTATATTTTGTGAGAAATTCTAAATAAAAAGTATTTAAAACATGACTGATATTATACAAAAAAAATTGAAGAATTTGAAATATGATCAAATTATATATTAATATTTTTACTTTTATATATGAATAGATATTTGATATTTCTATTGAATTTAATAGATATTCCGAATAAAAATTTCTTTTTTCTGAATAAGTCACATAGTAAGAAATAATATAGATTAACTATTATATTTATTCTTTTAATTTCCTTTTTTTAAAAAAACTTTATTAACATTAGTAATCTTTTGTTAGTTCTTTTTATTTTTTAAAAAACAACAAATTGTTCGAAGTTGACTTCAATTGATTATATTGTTTAGTTTTATTGGTTTCAAGTATTTTTTTATATTTATTTTATATTACAAAATATATTTAATAAAGCTAAAGTTGAATTGATAATAAAAAAAAAAAAATTAAACTAATTATAAATTATTTTTTTAATAATTATTACTATTCTTATTTATTTATTTTTTTATTAAAATTTTTTATAAATTTAAAATACATTAAAATATAAAAATAAATTTTTATAATATTAAGATAAATAATAAATTTAAGAATATTATAATATAAAATAAAATATTTTGATATATAATAATTTAAAAAAATAAATTATTATTATTATTATTTTTTTTTTAATTCACAGTTAAGTCAGCATGACATGTTTTTATTATATATACAAAGATATTTATAAGATATTTTAACTTTCATATATTGACTTACCTATTATCAAAAAATCATTTCTCTAGATATAACTTAGAAAATAATTGATTGAATGAATCTTCTAGTCAATAAAATTATTATTTACATGTCATTATTATAGATTATTCTAAATTATATTTATAGTTAAAAACTAAACTATTTAGTTCTATGCCAAATTCAATTTTTAATGATTTCCATATACTTTTTTTTCCTTTATTTTAAAAGTTTTTTGTTCTAGATTTTTTAAGAATATTATAAATTCTTTTTACTTTTATATAATTTATACATTGGATTTATACCCAGGCCTTTTAGATCTTTTAATCTCTTCAATAGTATTCTACTTCTTTTTTTACTTTATTACTTTAATGTAGTGACTATTTTAAATATTCTTCTTAAAATTTTCTCTTATATTATAATAAAGTTTACTAATTATATTCTGTATAGATACTAAAGAAATTTTGAGTTATACTTTGAAATAATTCTTTAAAAATTGATTTTGTTCTTTTTTCATATATTTACAAATAATATTGAAAAGACTTTTGTCAAATTACTGGATCTTGTTTAATCATCTACTTGTTTAATTATTGGTTGTAGAACAAATTTCTTTCTTATCTTTGATTTCTTTACTAATATAATAATTGATCTTTTCTTTTGCTTTTTGCCATATATCTTTTCTGTCTTCTTTGATAGTCGGATATTTTAAAAGATGTTTTAATATCTCTTCTTAAAGTTTATATACTAGGTAAGTCATTATGGTATAAATATCCAATTTTTTTTTTTAAGTATCTATAATAGTAAAAATTCATTGTGGATTAAATTGGTTAAAAACTTTTATCTTTATTAGCTTTGAAAGAGATATCAAAGATATTGGATAGATTGAATTGATTCTAGAAGGTTAACTAATCTATAATTTTGTAATTTTGAATTCATAGCTCTCAAAATTTTTTTTATATTATTTATTTTTCTTCAATTCTTTTCCTATT